ATCAGAAGCGAGATGTAATTTCCATTTCCTGCCCATAAGAGCTAAGTAGGTATTGTAATACAAGTTGAAGGGGGTTTTGTTGTGCAAGGATGAACTACTGTTGGGTTTGACTGATTGAAGATGAACTTTGATGTGGCATATTGGAACGCTACTAAATGCAACTTACAATGCCTAACAAAAAATATATTATTTTATTATTGAGAAAATTTACTTTTTAAAAGGAGTATTTAACTCTCAAAACAAACAAAAGGAAAAGTATACATGGAGAACAAAATCAGGAAAGATGCACTCCAGTCCGTAAGTTGCTCTTATCTCTGGGGAGTAGAATTGTGGGGAGAGGGTAATTTGCTGCATCATGCATCTCTGCAGTTTGGAGAATATTTACAGTGCCATGTTTTATTTCAGTAAGCAGAAAAAAGCAATGGATAAAAATTGCCATATATTCAACAAGTATTTAAGTCCCTACTAGGTAGGTACCAGGCATAACTAAGTGATCACTATAGAAATTTTGAAAGCTGCATAAAAAAGAAGACTTTGGGTATGTGCAACAGAGAGAAAACAACTGAGCAGTTGGCAGTTTCTAAGGTACTTGTGGACTTCCCTCCACCTCTGGCTCCTAGATCTGTGGTTCCCACTGGATGCCTAGTGCCCAGATGAACTCCAAGCTGGCTTCTTGACTGGCCCTTTCGGTCGCTGACTGTAACCAGGTGTGTCTTAAGTGCTAAAACATCTCTTTTGCAAGGTAAAGCCTAGAGGGTGCGAGGCCCCAGGTACTTTCACATGCTGATGGTGGGAATGTACTTTGCTACAAATATTTTGGAGGACAATTTGGCAATATCTATTAAAAACCTTAAATATATTCGGATGATAAAAATCAGAATAGTGGTTACGTCTAGGAGGGTTATTGGCTGGGAAGGCGGCTCAAGGGAGCCATCTGGGATGTTGGGAAGGTTCAACATCTTGATCTGGGTGGTGGTTACAGGAATATAGTTACGTAGAAGCTCATCGATATGTACACGTAAGGCCTGTGCACTTTACTGTATGTTGATAAAAATGTTTTAATTGGGAAATATATTTGAAACGTTTGAACAAACAAGTCCACGGTAACGTCGTATCCTACGGAAATAAGGATGCAAATATTTAGTTCATTGTGTTATTTATAGTGGTGAAAAATTAGAGACCTCTAAAATATCCCATACCAGGGAATGATAAATAAATGATGTTCCACCCGTTTAAAATCATGTTATCAAAAATTTTGTATTGGTATTGGAAAACACTTATTTATGATATAGTGTTTGGTAACTGAAGCAGGTCACAGAATAGGAAGAAAACAATAACAAGTAAAGACAAGTACCAGCTTTATTCCCTGATGCTGTGGCGATTTTCCTGGTACCCAAAGAAAATGCCCAGCTGACGATGGGAACTAGTCAAGTTTCGTGGGCAAAATAACACCATCAACCATGGTTCTCCTCTGATTCAGCTGTTTGTGGTGCAGGCACTGGGAACTAGGCATTGACCTAAGGTAGCCTGGTGGGCACAACTCCAGCCTCCATTAGGGATGTTTGGACTCTTTCAGGTTCTCCATTATTCTGAAGCTCCTTTCTATACTTGGTCAACTCAAGTCTGGAGCTGAGAGATAGGTGGTGGTAACCACGGTGGAGAGGGAATGGTTAGGATGTAAATAGGTATGTGTGTGTACGCGTGTCTGTGCATTTGTGAATACTTGTGCAGCCACTATTTCGAATATGTATGAATGCATGTATGTTTGTGTACACATGTAGACATGATCCCTCTAGTTTACATCCCCATATTTGGAATCAGGAAGGTACTATGGTATTTTAAGCAGTCAAACTGATCATCAAAATAAGGGAGTGATGAAGTGTTATGACTATTCCCAGGGCAAACATATTAGAGGCAGAGCGCCATCTGGCATTTTTCTAGTGGTCTGAAGGCTTCTGGGGAGCGCGCTTATCATTGGTTTGAAGAAGACGGAGAGAAGCAGGCTGCAGCCCCATTGGCAAACGTTTCCTCATGCTATAAAACAGTTTGCAACCTAGGGCAACACTGTATGCTTGATTAAGCTTGCAATGAAAAGGATTTATTTTAAGCCATTTTAATAATTTCTTTTTTATCAGAAGCTAACCAAGCAGTTTTATAGTAGCCTTCATTAGCATGAAAGACCCGTTTCTTCATCTAGGTGGCTTGACTATTGGTAAATTTTACTATGAGCTGATTTATGTATAAAACGCACAAGTGTTCTGACATGAAGAAAATCAGAATACAGCCCATGAAAATTCGCCTCTTGCTTTTTAATTGTCCAGCTCATTCAGAGTTAAAATAAACTTTCTTTTGGAGGAAGGGGGGGGTCTCTGTGCCAGGCTCAGTTGAAATGTGCTGTGGTTTTTTATCCCCAAGTTCCCCTTCTAGTTCCTCCCCTTATCCCAGATCCTCTGACCAAACAAGCACAGCATCTCTGGGGAGAAGACTGCTACTACCCTCTGAGCTGCCGCAGCCGCTGCTATTGTCACTGCTACTGGTCTCAAAGTCATTTTTAACTTGACTGAGAGCCTGCTGTGTTCCAAGTCCCATACGGTACCCCGAGAGACAGTATGAAGGAAATATACAGTATGCAGTTCTTTGAAATAGCTAGCTCCTCTAGTATTTTTTAAAATAGTGTTTCATTTTCACGCCAGATTCAGGAATACAGAAGTTGCAAAAAGCAAGGCTCACCTCCATTAAGGGCACCTCCCCAGTTTACGGCTTTGATTATAAAGGTCAGATTACATACGCTTTCCGTGTCAATTATCCCGTAATGTGCTTCTCTCTAAAGTGAAAAGTCCTCATTCTACGCATGGAAACCAGCACAGTAACAAGTTTCTATTTGGCTTCTTCAGGGATCTCTAGCTGTCTGGCTGCTATTGGGGGGCCCAAATCCCCGAAGAAGGTGTGAAGCTGTCTTTTCCAGCCTGTAAAGAAACCTCTTCAAGGCTACTTTCACAGAAACAAAATCAGTTCATTATGAAGGACTCCTGAGAAATCGGTGCTGGTTTCAGGAGTTCTTTGCATTAAATATATGAGATATTTAGAGTGGGGGAAGGAAGAGACTAGTAAACAGAACTGGAGACAAACATGGCAAGAGTGTACATATGGGGTTTCTGCCTTTGTGGAGTTTATGGAGACTCTGATACATAAGCCAAACATGCTTAAGACACACACCCCTACAATAGTGGGCATCTTGTCTCTATCTAGGGCATGTATCACAGATTTCTGAACTGCATCTATAGTGTACAGCTGCTAATAATACCTGACATGGCCTTCAGCGTGGCCCCTGGGGTGCCCTGAGTTCTTTACAAAGGGCTTCCTTTTCAACCTTCAGGAAGCTTCTTTTCTTCCTTTGGAAGATGGGAAAGGGCAAGCGCCCTCGGTTCCATTTCCTGGGTAAGGAAACGAAGCTTCGCAGTAGATTAGCAAAGCCAGAGCTGGGAAGAACCAAGTACTCTCCTTCATCCCATCGACTCTCAGGAGTGTTTTATACTTGATTTGGGAATGTTTTGAGGGTGCACATGGAGAGAGGGTTGCAGTCATCAGGGGGAGGTGGTTGGAAGGAGACCTGGCAAGCAGAACCTGGGACCTCTCACTGGGGCAGAATGAGTGCCTTCAAACAGGTGAATTCCCTGCAATGCCAGGCCCGCAGGGTTGAGTTTCCAGAAGGAGCTGGAGCCCACTGCTCTCCCCTTCCTCACCTTCCTCCTCCCTTGGCCACCAGCCAGATATCTTGGGACACTCCAAGGAGGCCTCATCCTGTTCAGCCCTTTTGGGGACATCAGAACCACCCTCTGGGCCAGCAACGTAGTGATTCCAGCCCAATATCCTAATGGGGTCTGGGAGGATGGGTTGGGGAAGGACTTGGTTGTTCTCCAAGATCAGGAACATTCCTACCACATCCCCAGTTTCTCTTAGCAAATGCACAGTGGGTCTGTCAGCCATGACTTTCTCACTC